CATGCCTGAAAAAAGTAGATACCCTAATACAATGTTACTCTAATAAAATCATTTTCAATTTTACTTGAGTAAAAGTACAAACAAACTATTTTGTAATGTACTTAAGTATTAAAAGTAAAAAGTACTGATTGATGAATGTTTATTTATTTTGACATTTTAGGGCCTACTCCATCCTACTGCTCAAAATGTTTACTTTATTACTAAAACTTGTCATACACTGATAACAATTCCTGATAATTACTGATAAGTCAAGTGTGTAGACAAGTAAAATAACATAAACCATATAAAATGAGACAAATATGTTGACAAATATAAACAGACATATAATTTAAAACAGACGTCACATATTTGGCAAAATGCGTTAAAATTTAAGGAGAACACTATGCAAACATACTAGTTTTCATTTACAATAATAAATCCCAAAATTCGGCGTTAGTAACTTTTTGCGCCATCAGTCACACGCACTAGAGCTCCGAGGATCTCTCATTCTTGGATCATTTTTATTCAGACTTGTGAGTTCAGTGAATCGTTGACTCAAGAACAGATGCAATCGGATCGGCCCAATCCACTGAAGAATTGTTTAGTGCTATTTGCGAACCCATTTATCAGGTTTACTGAAAAGAATGAGCGCGTTCACGAATCAGACTGCTATTGCGTCTCGGAGCAGGTGACGATTTCTTCAGTTTAAAATAACGAGAAAAGACTAAATGTAGTGGAGTAAAAAAGTATTATATTATGCTTTTGAATGCAGTGAAGAAACATTTTCCCGAAATAAAAATACTGCAATAAAGTAGGCTACAGATACTTGAAAAATGTACTTGTACTAAAATACTTTGTTACTGTCCACTACTTGAAATACTTGAAAGCTGCATGCCATTATTTTAATTTAATATGTATTAAAATATTACTATTAAATGTAACAATTACAGTAAGTAGGGCCTATTAAATAAATATGTTATATATTAACTTTGGCTGTGGAATCGTAATTGACACAGAGACTTGTGAAATTTCACTGGTATAGGTATCAGATATGAAAAGTGGTTCATAACAATACTATAGTGTAGAATAAAGTGCTCTGTCTGACCACACACACACACACACACACACACACACACACACTCACTCACAGACAGGCTCTGATTCACTTACCCCAACCAAAGCGGGGACCACCTTTCCCCTCTTCACCACCTCATCACTTTGGTAACTATGACAACCACATCATCCTCACCAATACATGTCTCTCTCTCTCTCTCTCTCTCTCTCTCTCTCTCTCTCTCTCTCTCTCTCTCTCTCTGTTTCTGCTCAGTATTCCTCTCATACTAATGTCACAGTGTGTCCTCTTCTGTTAGAACCTTCCAGTGGTGAGGTTATAGGGGATATCTGGAAAAGGCATTGAACTGCAATTTAAACCCACTATGTTGCTCATCCAAACTCACTGTCCCGTCCACTGTGAACTGTTTCTACCGGAGAACCGAAACCAATTATAGCTTTTGCGAATCAGATCCTTCAATTTCATGGTTTGCTTAACAAACAGAAGCACCCCTGAGCAGAACGGATGAATATTTACGATAAACATACAAACAATCAAATAAACAGTCCTTTGATACAGATGTTAACAATTTTATCATATCTTACTGGTGCAAAATCACAAATTTGGATTGACACTAAGGGCCCTATTTAAACGATCTAAGCGAATGGCCTAAAGCGCATGGTGCAAGTGCACTTAGGGCGTGTCCGAATCCACTTTTGCTAGTTTAACGACGGGAAAAATGGTTGGCGCATGGTCTAAAAGGGTTTTCCCTATTCTCTTAATGAGTAATTGGGTTGTTTTTAGGTGTGACAAAATAAACCAAACAGAGTCTCATCTCCCATTCCCTTTAAAAGCCAATGGCACTCGCGCCATGGCGGATTGCTATTTACATGGCGGAATTTGCAAGATTTATTTAAACAGTGGCACAGAACGTGAAAATGAAAGCTGTGTCGGGCTGAAAATAGCAAAACACACTTCCGGCGTGCTTGGCGCTGCATTGCACCGGGTGTATGATAGGGCCCCAAGACTTTTTATGTGTTTTTTTCAATTAGTCTATTTAGTCTCATTCTAGCATCATTTACTCACCATTACATCGTTTCACACTTAACAAAATAAACAAACAAAACAAAATATATAAAAAATAATAATATATATAATATATTTATTGTATAGTGATAATAATTACAATAATATTTATTTCAAAAAACAACATTTAAAGATTTCATTGTTGATTTTAAATTATTTTAATTTAATAATTACACCTAAATAATCTGCCAATTACTGTGTGTGCATGACAGTGTGCACTCTTTGGTGAATGTGTTTTAGCTTTTCTCTATTGTAGCGTAACTCCAGCCCTCTGGGCTAGTGTTCAAAAAAGAGCTGACATTCAGATACATTATATTCATATCTGTGTGTATTTGACTTCCCTCACTGTGTAAACTGAATTGCATATTTCTGATTTCTTTTCTGACCCAGGTAATGAATTCCAGGTCGTCTGGTTTGCGGTGAAGTGCGGCATTTGTCTGATTATAGATGGCATGCTTTTATGTACATGTCACTGCATTTGATTTCAATGTGTAAATTAATGAATACAAAAATGCTTTAGACGCAAAAAGTTTTTGCAAAACAAACATTAATGAATACATAGCCGTGTGTGTATGATGTCTGTGTGTGTGTGTGTGTGTGCGTGCACGTGTGTGTTTGTGTGTTTGTGTGTGTGTGTGTGTGTGTGTGTGTGTGTGTGTGTGTGTGTGTGTGTGTGTGTGTGTGTGTGTGTGTGTGTGTGTGTGTGTGTGTGTGTGTGTGTGTGTGTGTGTAATTTGGGTTTGCTGCATTCTGAATTTCAAAGACATACTAGTTTGAAACGACACGAGTGTGAGTAATTTTTTTTTTTACAAAATGTTATAATATTCTCATAGGTCCACTTTTAATGTTAGCAAGATTTTTAAATCAAAAAACTAATTTAGAAGTAATAGGCTCTTTTCTATCCTGTTTTTGACCCTATTTGAAACACTTTATTTTGATAGACGTGCCCCATTCAAGACTCTCAAGACTGCATCCGTCTACTGCTAATTATTGGGTAACAGATTTGCATATTAAAATAATTTCCAATGTTCCACCATTAAAAATGAGAAATTGTTTTAAAACTTCCGATGTTGAAAAATGTCAACCAGTGAAATTCAGCCATACATTTTTGAGCCAGAATCTGATGCCAAATCAGAAGACAATACATAAGGAATTAAAATGTATATTTCTTCTTTATGTATTCGTTAGGTAGTATTGTATTTTATGACCTTATATTCGTGTTGAAAAGATAGTGTTACATAGTTGAAACATGTTTTGTGAAACATGTGTTACTGTAACGATGAGGCAATGATGAAGCGGAGATAGTTTAAAATAACATGATATTACATATGCTTTAAAAGTCTTGGTTGTGGCAAATAAAGTTTAAGTAGCTACTTGGAGTTACCAAAGTTATAGTTGACAGGATAACTTTCTGTGTTTTGTGTAAAGCAATTATAAATTAATTAATTAATTACCATTGTTTGCTGCACTGTTGTTATTATATTCATCGTTCATCATTTTCAGTAAAGTAAATGTAAAGTGACTTTTCAGTGAAGTGAGTACATATCAAATGAATTGTATCAGACAAAGCAGTGACCCATGGTAAAAACATTGTTACTCACAATCGTGTTGCGACATTGCTGTCAGATTCAAGATAGTCGTCACTGTATCATCTTTTATTTTCAGTCTTGTTTTTAAAAAAAAAGAAAAAAAGAATCCGCAGTAAAATGAAGCGAACACAAAATGTGTCTTACTGATGCGATCTGGAACTTTGTTAAAAATAAAACTCAGCCACGCTTTCTTAATGTTAGGATCACAAGGAAGGAAATGCAAAGACTGTTTTTCCACAACATCTTTTGTTCCTGGAGTAATCCTGTGTTCGCCTCTCTCTCGTTTTTACTACTACATGACAAGCGCGGATCGGTGGACAGGGCTAGAGAGGCAATGATGTAGAAGTAAGCGTTGATCTTCTCCTGCAGAGGCGGTATTGCATTGCACTATGATTTCATACTGAGACAAAATCTGAAACGAGTCATTTTAACAGCTTGATTTCAATAAAAGCTGTATTTGGACTAACAAGGAAGCTTTGAGTTCTGAAACGTATAGGATTTATTTTTTTACAGTACAAGGACATCTTATAAGCCAGACAAGGAAAATTTGATTTCTCAATTCATGACCCCTTTAAATCATCCAACCCATATGTGTTCATGTTTGTGTGTAGCGAGAGAGAGAAAAAAACAAACAGAAAAAGAGAGATAGGAGAATGTGGAATGATGAAACGTGCTATTTGTGTAGAAAATGAGAGCACTTAAGATGCTTTTAAAGTGCTTCATTTAAAGTCAACAGGCCCTTTAACGGCAAAACCATTTAGAGATTATTGCTTTTATAACAAGATAATTAACAGCAAACCCATTAATTTAGGAGGAATGGCTATGTTTCTGAGAATCATAGAATTATATTAGCTATACCTAACTTGCATTCCTGTATAACAAAAAAAAAAAAAGTTAATCTACGAGTGGATTTTTCAATTGGTCTGGTAAAAATGAATAAAGTCTATATGCTGCATGCATCAAAGGAACTCACTCAGTCATGATATTTTTCATTTTACCCTTGAAAATTTTCATTGGTAGAAGAGCTCAGGCTAACAGCATGGATTTTATACTCTTCAGTTCTTCAAAGCTCTACTGCAACAGAGACAAATTTGACAATATGATTGGACACTGCAGCTGCACTTGTACAAATGTTTGTTTGGAATATCTGCACCTTGGTATGTAAATGAATCTTTGAATCAAGGATTCAGTCGCCTCTCTTTGTGAATATTATGCATGGAGCATCAAAATGTGCAATAAAAAAAAAATTAGGGCCAAGCTCAAAGATTCAGAAATAGTATCAGATTGAGACTCACCTGTAGATGATGCAGGCACTGTTACGACACGTGTCACAGTTGGATGTGTCCTGCCCAGTTCGATATGACAGTCTGTGGAAAAAACAGTGTGTGATAAATGTACTGTAGCATAAAGAAAAAATACAACTCTTAGCGGGATAGTTCACTCAAAAAAGGAAAATTATGTCATCAATTAATCACCCTCATGTCATTTCAAACCTGTATGACTTTCTGTGGAACACTAAAAAATACATTTTGAAGAATGTTGAAGTCCAAACGACATTGGGCCCCATTGAATTTCACTGTATGGACAAAAAAAGTAATTCATGCAGGTTTAAAACAGAATGAGGGTGAGTAAATTATGACAGAATTTTCATTTTTGGTTGAACTATCCACTATTTTTTGGGTGAACTATTTTGTCTTTTATTTACATGGAAGCATTCAATTAATCAAAAGTGACGTTAAAAACAATCATGGTTTCCACAAAATATTAACCAGCACAACAGTTTTCAACATTGATCATAACTGTGCAGTGCCCGTGCAAAATCAGTTTTTGTGTGTGTTTTTAGTAATTGTTGGTTTGGTGTGTTTGAGTGCTCATTGTTACAATTACACAGCAAAAGTTCAGTGACAATTTTATTTGTGCATGGTAGAAAGCAGATACTGATACTGACATAATGACATACAATAATTGAACTACATGGTTGCATAACAATTTATAATGGTGATATTAGGTGACATGTATTTGGGTATCTGTGTACAGGTAGCAGGAGTTTAGATTACATTAGATTAGATTAGATTTACATGAGTTTGAACTTCATCATCATCTTTATTTATTTGAGCATCTGGGTTCCACAAAGATCTATATAGTAACAAGGTTCACCACAGTAGGCAAAACTAAAGAAGGATACATGCGCAATGAATAAGTAAGTAAATAAATAAAAACGTGGATATGAACTTTGTTGTCATTGTGCAGATTACAATTATAGAGACAATGGCCCTCATTTATCAAAAGTGCGTACACCAAATTTCCAGCGTACACCTGGCGTACACCCAAAACCACGGTGACTTTGAGATTTATCAATATGGACGTTGGTGTACGGCACGCTCAAATCCTACGCCAGCTCAGGAGGTGGTGTACGCACGTTTTTAGTTAGTGCAGAAATGCGCAGAAAAACAATTCCTAACACCACAAAACGCACTGACAAACTAAAAGATATGATATATTATGACCAACAACAACAACATAGTAATTATAAACTTCAGTGTTTATTTTTGTGCAACATGGACTTCAATGTTTAATTTGTGTGACTTTACCAAAGCATTTGATTTGTAGCCATATGTATTCCTTCAGTTGCGAGCCTGTGCGCTTTACCCTGACGTTTCATGGTTTGGCCCGGCAGGTGCGCACGGACTGGGTTCGGTAATGAAAGGCTTTCAATGACCAAAAAATAATTCAGACTGACAAAATAATAAAAAATACATTCTTCTTCTTTTAAATAATAATAATAATAATACAAATAAATAATAATAACGACGTTCTTCTTCTAAATAACAACAAGCGTCATTAATAATAAAAATAATAATAATAAGAAGAATATTACAAATTGTCATGCAATTATTAATGTGAATGAATGGTACTCCACATCACATCATCATCGTCACTATTGTACACCCCAATACATGTGACGTGATTCGAAATTGAATGCTAATTGTTTCAAAAGACGTGCTGTAAAATAATGCATTGTGATAGGACATTTCGGCTCCACGTCGGAGAAGTTTCTCTTCTATGCCGTCTTCCGTGAGTACATGGCGTAAAATGAGGGTGTGGGGGAAGCGGAGACTTGAATATATAGGGGCGTGTTATTCTAATGACGATCGTTTTCAGCCGCGGGATTTATCAAGGGCAGGTATTGCGTACACCTGGATTTCAAAGGTACGCACAGCTTCATAAATCAGGCGGTGAGAGGAGTGTAAGCATAATCTAACGCCAACATATACGCCCGTTTCTACGCAAGAATGATAAATGAGGGCCAATGAAAGGCAGTTAGCTTATAACCAGAAGTGCAAAAATGCAGAAAAGTGCAATGTGAACAGTATATAAGTGCAGTAAACAGTATATGACATATAGTGCAGTGTAGACAGTAGTATACAGTTAATGAAGTGGTATGGTGTAACAACATTATAACAAATTCAGTTAACATCCACAAATGAATAAGCGCAACGTTTCAGGAAATACCGCATTCTACATGTACTAAAGTTTTTTAACTCCAAACTTTTTCATAGAACAGATTTTAGGCATAATAGCCAGATTTAGCATTGAGATCAGGCTATGTTTGACTTGTTTCTACTACTATCCAGTTAACGACAAGCACAACAAAGGAGAACACATAAACAGCTAACTTGGTTGTTTCAATGATGAAAAGTAAGAATGGACCGTCAAACTTGGCACTGCACTTACTCGTGCCCGTAGCAAGACACCTGTCAAGTTTGAAATCCATCGGACTAACGGTTCGAGAGATATGCGAATAACAGACACACAGACAGACAGACGTTCCTGTAATTTATAGATAGATAAGATTTCCATTACACGAGAGTAGATGTTAAAACTTCATGCTGATTTGTACTCGGCTTTCGCCAAGATAAGCAAAACTAAGACGTAGCTTTACAGTAAACTATGCTTCTCCATCCATTTACGCTTCTTTCCATATGGTGGTGTGACTCCCCTTCTGTCCGGCGTTAACGGCTGCAGTGTACTTGGCGCGTCAGCACGCGCGACGGCTGCAACTAAAGGACCAGCACGACAACCGTCTGGATTGAGCCGAGTAGGGGACATCTCTAGGGTCTTCAAGTGGGCACCTTCCGTCCTCAGTGTTTCGTCGACTAGCCCACGACACCTCAAGAGGGCTCGACAGTGACTCTGGCGTCCCAGAGTCACCCCCCTCCGTCCCCCACTCAACTCAGCCCAGCTTACTGACCTCCACATCCCTCCTGCTGCTGAGACCTAACCACAATCTCACAATCTCTCCGCAACTCGACCATACGCGCCAACCCGTTTGACTAAGGCTGTCGAGCCCCACTGGTGCGTTAATATGCAGTTTCAGTGGACAACGGTTCCGTATGGCATACCACCTACCGCAACACACAATATCTGCCCAACCACCCGTCATTCACGCAATATCCACAGGAACGTATACAAATAAACCAACAGACTCTTCAAGTTTTCAAGAATTCTACGAAACCGTGGCGTGGCGGCCTGCACACAGCCAGCTAGAATCTTTCCGTCTCAACCACAGCCAGTTGCTGCTCCTCTCTGCTGCTTCAGATAAGTTCTTTACTGTGAGACGCAACTCTTGGCCGCTGAATCCGATGTCTCTGAGGAACCGGGTTGTAGAGTGTGCCACAAAACCTCGACAACCCACTTCCACTGGATAAACCTGGACTCTCCATCCTCGCTGTTCTGCTTCAGTGGCCAGATGAGCATACCGCAGTTTCTTCCTCTCATATGCCTCATCTACCGCATCCTCCCATGGCACTGTTAACTCTATCAGTTGAACAATGCGTGGTGATCCAGACCACAAAACAATATCTGGTCGTAGGTTATTGGTGGCAATCTCAGGTGGAAAAATAAGCCGTTGATCAAGATCAGCCAGCATCTTCCAGTCCCTAGCAGCTTCCAGTTGTCCTGGGTGAGAATTGGTGTTAACACCTTTTCTTGGTGGTTGCTCGCCTGGGCGGAGGAATATTGTCTTCTGCGTGTAATGATTTGCTAGAACCGGTGGCGACTTATTGGTCATGTTACGCTTGCCTTCCAATGCTAAAGCCAAACATCGCAGTACATGGTCATGGCGCCAAGTAAACCGACCTTGGCTAAGAGCCACCTTACATCCTGTCAAAATGTGCCTTAATGTGGCAGGTGATGAACACAAAGGACAAGATGGATCCTCTCCTACCCAGAGGTTTAGGTTCTGCGGTGATGGGAGAACATCATATGTTGACCTAATAAGGAAACTGATCCTACTCTCTTCCATTGACCAAAGGTCTTGCCAGCCCATCTTACGTTGTTCCACACTCTCCCATCTCATCCACTCTCCCTGCTTGGCCTGGGAAATGGCCTTTATACACCTCATCCTCTCCTCCTGCTTTCGCACCTCGTTGACTACCAGCTTCCTCCTTTGAGCTGGGCCTGCCTTGTGCCATTTAGGAGGAGCTAAACTGAGCCCAAAACCCCCTCTTCCATGCTGTACCTGTCCCACGATATCCCCAATTTGAAGGGCAGCCTTTGCCTCTACTACAGATTTCTTTGCTGACCACTTTCTACCAAAATGCTACTATTGATGCTACCAAATGTATAAAGCAACAAATCAGCATATCAGAATGATTTCTGAAGAATGGAAAATGTCTGCTCAAAATTCAGCTTTGCACCACATAATTTTTTTTACAATTTAAAATATATTAAAATAAAACAATACTGTATTTTTAATCAATTAAATGCAGCTATGGTGATAGCTTTATTGTTTAAATTGTGTCAATATTTATTGATTAATTTGATTAATGAAACAGCATATCTAAATTAATTCAATAAAATGTTTTGATTGATTCACAGCCCCAATTTGTTATTGTGCATTGATGTATTTTATTAAAGCAGGGCCTCTTGCAGATTATTGCTTTATTCTACCAAGTGCCCAGGATTTCTATAGATTATTTCATGATGGAAGACACCGGGATTGAATTCCCTGTATCTATCCGCTGTTTACTCATGGCCCTTGGGCTTCAGCAGCATTAATGTATGTACAAGGGGATGATGGATCATGCACTAGCCTGGCATACTTGAAGTGGTTTTGATATATTATTTGTGTGCTGATGTGACACTGTGACACATGCCTTGCATTTCTACGGAGACAATAACGGGGCTGTACCCAGCAGCCATGCAGTTATGCATTTTCATTAAAGCTTAATGAAAGCCTAATTGGATCACTTTATCCCTCTGAGCACTCAAGTGTCAGGATGGTCATTGATATTCTGCATTCAGTTCGATCTGATGATGCTGAGGAGTTTACAGCGACAGTGGTTACACACATTATGTCCAATCG